AAGGAAGAAAACCTCAAACAGAACCACACTCAGTGTGAGCGACCATCTGCCGAGGCCAACTGGGGTTCAAGGAGACAATAAATAAAACAAATAATTTCCTCAAAAGTGTATAAAGCGGGAAGGCTGGGCTTAATGTCTGTCAGTGCTATGTATGTCACTGTCCACATGTGTGCCCATTTGAAAACCTTTAAAGTTAAAAAGTATATTACTGTGAAAGAGAAAATGCAATATTTAAGTTGAAATTCTTATTTTGCAAAACCAAAAGCCGTTGCTTATTATAGTTTGTCATGTTTTGATAAGGTTGTTTATTTGTTTTTCTGTACAAAAACTTTATTGTACAACTGGTTAAGTTGTTTTTATGTAACAGATTTTGTAATAGCGTAGTAATTTATAGGTTTGTATTTTGACTTCCCACATGGTAAAAAAAATTTTTTACATCATAATATGTCTTGCTTATCTTATGGAAAACATAAAATAATGTCTCATTTATTTTTTTAGTTCCAGCCTGTCCTTGTATCGACAGATCTAAAAAAAAAAAAAGCAAACCTTCAATCAATCCTCAGTCTGCTACAGGCAGTGGTTTTCAAAATGCCATAACCTGGGGAAAAGCCAAATAGATCAATGTTTCTGCAGTGCACTGGGAGTGGGAGGCTTAACTGAGCCTGAGGTTGGACCCCCTATCAATGCTAGGGACATGATATCCCCGACGACCGATACTTCGGATTTATCTTTGGGCTGTCACTCAGCGCTGCACCTTATCCCAACTCAGTGAGCTGATGTCTGTTCTGGTTTTCACCGACACAGCTTCAAAACATCCACAAATAAAAAATTATATATATTTTTAGCAAAACGTGAAGATAATTAACACTTGGTCTAAACTGGTAGTGAGTTTCTGTCAAAGAGAAATTAATTTCACTGTTTTAGAATGTATCCATTTTATTAGAAATAAAACTTCTTCCTATTTGAACAATGTGGCATAAAATGAATTGTGTAGAAAAAAGAAATGCAAAAATGTCTTACATTAAGTGTAATTACCCTTAATTTGAGTAGGTAAATAAGATGATTTGCCAATAGAATGAGTACTTTTACTACTGAAATAAGATAATTAGATAATATGCACTTGAAATAAGACAATGCATTTTTTTTCTTATTTCAAATGTGAACTGTCTTGCTCAATTGGCATAATGTCTCTATTACCTCCTCAATTCAAGATAAAAAGTACTAATTTAAAGAAAATAGCATGCTGTGCAAAACTTTCCAACCATTTCCTCTGTCTTGGTGCTTAAAAAAGCAAAGCTTCTTTGCGATATTAAGTCCTACTTTCGTGTTTCTTATACTTCTGCAGCTTTTTCAGTGCCAGAAGAATATCTTTTTGTTCTTCTTACTTTAGGAAAACTGTTCAGCAGCTTCAAATCAAGAACAAATAGGCTCCCATCCTCTGGGACAATCCCCAATCATTTACCTTTATACCTTCCAGTCACAAAAACCCCCACTGCCGACGATCAGACCCCACACACTTCAATTCTGTGTTCTTATTTTATGCCTTCTGAGGGTGTTTTATACTAATTGTTTTTAATCTCTTTCTCTGTATCATGTAACCTTCTATCCCAAGAGTCTCTGGTCATGAAATGACAATAAATCTCTCGATACCTGATTCTTAAAGTAACAAGTTTGAAAAATTAAAAGAAAACAACAGAACCGGAATGAGGATCAGGATTTCAGCTAATAACTCTTAAAAAATAAACTTTGTGTTCAGAACCAAGTTTAAAGTTAATTCCACTGTACAAACAAACTGGTCCATCCCTGTTTCCAAGTATTTATTAATGTCTGATTGATTATTGGGTCATTTAGAATAAAAACAAACAGTCTGTTTCAGGATGGGGGCTCTGGGCCCCTGGGTGGCTTCAAAGGTACACAATGTTCTCAGAAACTGAGAACAGAATGTTTTAAAAAGAACATTTGTTTAAAAAAAAAAAACAGTTTTTATAAAATATATGTTTCAATAATTATTATAAATTATGGCTTACAATTGTGTATAGTTTTACCTTGAAAAATGTGGATTCAAAACTGAGCCGTATGGTTCTTCCTCCAAGTACAGTATGAATGAAAGAACTCTCTGACGTTGGCTGATAGGGCACTAAAATGCCTTTTCTATTTCACAGTAATATTCTTTTTAAGCTTAAAGGTTCTCAAATGGGTTCTGAGTCTGGTTCTGCTGGAGGTTTCTTCCTGTTAAAAGGGAATTTTTCCTCTCCACTGTCGCTACAAGCATGCTTAGTGTGAGGGATTGCCTTTGAGTCAATGAGTCGATGCAATCAACTGCTTTTCCTTGGATGGAAAACTCTGAATCATTTTAAATGTATGATCTGGTTGAATTATAAAGTGCCTTGAGATGAGGCGATGTGAATTTGCACTACCCGGTATATAAATAAACTGAATTTAATTTAATATTTATTGGAAATATAATACAAAGTTAAAAACACATGAGTTTAAAGTCGTATGCTGGAATTCTTAAACTGTATTTCTAATTTGACTAGAAATAAGTAATGGAAGAATACAAGGCCGACCTAAACCTAAAGGAAGATGTGGATATTTTTTCATCCGTTACTGAGATGCTGTTTGAAGAAGGAAGCAGCTCTCTGATTCTGGAGATAAAGCAACTCTCAGACCCAGGAAAGGATTCTTCCTCAGAAAGTGTCTTCTTCCTGAGGCTCTCCAGTCTGCATTGCTTTCAGTTTACTAGGAATACAGCGACATCTGGTTCAGCTTTTGTGCCTTTTAAATTAATTTGATTGATACTTGCAGAGCTGATACAGAGGCAAGACTGTTATATGTTCTTAAGCCTCATCACGTCAACCATTGTGTTGATAGATTCAATTCACTTTTCCTTTTTGGGAATCATCAGAGAGTCTCTGAACCTCGAGAGTATCTAAAGCTAATTCTCCATCCTTAAGGGTTTAATTATTTTAAAGAAACTTTTGGTACATATTTTCAAAGGTTGTTTATCCAATTCTCCTTTGAAAGATATGCTGCATAAACTTTTTCTTATTTTGTCCCCTTAGATCAGAAAGCACTGACGTATTTAATTTGATTTTATCTGTGCAACCCTTTATTCAGAAGTCATTTTATCAGAGAATAGCATCTAGTTGTGTCTAGTTGAATTGGAACCTACATATAAATGCAGCGGTTCTCTTTCTGGTCTGAGAGGTTTGTTAGAGAGAATGAGAGAACAACCAGCATTACAAAGACAAAGTAACCTAGCAGACAGGTCAGGGAGAATCTTATATACGTAACAACCTGAGTAAAGATTAGACAAACTCGGTCTTAAAAAAAAAAACATTTTCTTTATTAAACAAAAAATCCTTTTCCTCTCTTTCTACAACTCTGATGGCTTAAGGTAGACAATATTTACACTCTGACATTGGTGGATGGCAGATAAACCCGCATAACCAGAACAAGAAAGTCACACACTTATATAAGGCTTCACAGCAATCAGGTGAAAAGCAAACACTGCACACGATCACCATTGAACACTGCAAACGATCAGATCAGATATAATATTGTCTATCAGCTCACAGTATGCTTGGGAGAGTGACCAAGGAAAAAAACAACAACTAAATGGAAAACAGATAAGATTCCTAAGTGAACAAGTGAACAATGGGACCAAAGACACCAAACAGGGTTGGACTAACTAAAAAAACAACAACATAAACCTAAGGACAGCAGGAGCAACAAAAACCATCTCTGTAAACAAACAGAAAACAACAAATCACAAAAAATGCAATCAATTTATAGTTTTAATAACCACCTTAAAATCTCTAAAAATACCTGTGTATGGTGTACATCACCCTCATCTCCCCGCATACACAGCCTGGTCTGTTAGGGCCTTCTAAAAAGAAACAAACAATAAAAATGTCTATTTGTCCTAATAAAAATTTAGTATAACCCCCATTCTTTAAAAACACTCACCAACATTCTTGACAAATTTACAGTATAACATGCTTGGAACTAAGAGGCGTCCTGGTGTCCGACGGAAACTGACACCTTCCCAGAAATGCTCACAGTTTCTGCTTTGATACTGCTTGGACAACGCCCACCATACCGATAGTAACATATAGAAGTTTAAAGCAGAATTTTTTATTTTTTTTTTCTTTTATATAGAGGTTAAATGTCCAGTTGACAAAAACCATAAACCTTCCGTCAATTATGGCTCAGTCATATTCCAGACTTGCATCTGCTGTGGCAGGACTTGAAAACAAATGTCTATATCATATCAATTTGAATATCAATGAGCTCTAAAGCAAAGAAGATTTGGCAAAGGCGTCCAGTGGTTCGACGTTGGTAGAGACATTCCCCAAAAAGACTGCAACTGCAGTGAAATTAGGTTTCAGATTTTTTGCTACAATAAAAATAAGCAAGTCACACATTTCAGATTTTTTCTTGTTTGTTTTTTTAATTGAATCCCACTTTTTATAACCATGCATCCTTTGCTTATCACTTTTCTAAAATACACTGAACTACCTTTGCAAGGGACTGCAATAATTTTTAAAACATCTGTATTTTTGAGTAGCATTGAAAGTGTGCTGATGGTGTAAGAATTAAACTTGTTTTCACCTTTCTGATGCAGCGCAAGTAGAATTAGACAAATTTTATTGTCATTTCTTATACAAGGAGTGTATACAGAACTGAATTTCGAAGACTAAATAGACTATTAGTAGACTATAGAGACTAAATAGACTAATACACCCTTAAATAACCTACTGTAAGTTGTGCAACAGTCATCAGTTATTGTCTGATCAGATGTTTTCTCCTCTCAGCCTCTAAAGAAAGAGCGCCCTAATCTGCAGTGATGAGAGGCACACACAATATAAACGCTTTGATTCGTCTGCTGTTCTTTATGCTGCCACAGGTTAGTTCTGAATAAATGTTGTTTATTTCTCCTACAGATGATGCCCTCAGTTGGTGTTGATGCTCTGCCTTCTTTGCTTATTCTTACAGCTGGAGTCTGGCTTCGGGAAAGTTTTAGAGGAAACTTATCTGAAGTGGGTTCAATATAAACAAGACTGTATCAAAATGATGAAAAATGAGCCACTACCTCAAGGTATAAATCAGAAAGTAAAATGATGAATATAATCTTCCTCTCTATGGCTCAGATGTACTACATTTTATCAGCTGGTAGATTAATTTAATGGTTTATTATTGATTTGAGTCGGATTGATGAAATTGAATAAAAAATTGTTATGGGTTTACTTTTTCATCTTTTTTATGTCTTGAACCATAACAATTTTTCTTCTTTATCTTTTTAGAAGGCTTGTTTTGCAACAGGACATTTGACAGATATGCCTGCTGGCCAGATACCCCTGCAGGCTTGATGGTCAACATTTCATGTCCTTTCTACCTGCCCTGGTTTGAGAAAGGTATGGGTATTCTTTCTGCCCTTTACAATCAGTCTGCCCTCTTTCGTTCTGTTGACCTGTGTGCTATTATAATCTGTATTTCAGTCAGAGAGAGTTTATTGCTCTTTAAATCCTTACTACAGAGCCGAAAAATGACAGAAAAAAGTATTTTTGGTGAAGATTGATAATGGAACTAATGTGATTAGGAAAATAAAACACCTTACAGCTTCAGTTAAAGGTATAGTGGATGATTTTTGAAAATTCCACTTTTAAAGAAAACTACACATGCACAACCTTGTACCTGCTCCTTAGAGGGAACGCGAGAGCATGCACAAACCAATTTCTCCTCGTGCACGCTCTGTTTAAAAGTTGCTTTTGGTATCGCTCATACAAGCTTACTTTCCAAAAGAAGATTAGCAATTTTTCCACAATGTCAGACTCACCACCGCTAAGTGAAAGTGGGGATGAGCACGTAGGACGGCCTTACGTGAACATTTCACCAAAATTATTGACAATTAGGAGGACCACTTATTTTTACGATCCACCCAGAAAAAGAGCATCCTCTACTACAGTATACCTTTAAGAGCAAAGGAAAACCCAATCTTATAAGGTTTCTCTCACCCGGCATCACCAATTCATCAAAATCAGGAAGTCAAATGACTCAAAACCAATTACAGCCTCCTTTGGTTCAACATTTTTTATAAGTAGATAAAAGAAGTCCCTTTTCGTCAAGTAGATTCAAACTAGCCTGCTGTCTGTTCCAAAAAGATAGCCCAGTTCTGTTTCTGCTCCAGTTGTATAGCACAGTCAAAGCTGTTGAATGCTACAATTAATAGAGTAATACCAGCACTGTATTTTCCACATTTATATGAATGTCATTGAACACCTCGATAAGGGCAGTGTCAGTTGTAGTCTTTTTATTTAAGTTATTTTGATGCTTAAGCACAGCTTTTTTAATGGCCTTATCTTTAACTTTGCCGGAGTCTGTAAATTTTGCAGGAGCAACTTCTCCAAACAGTTATTTTTTAAACAGTGGTTTAATAATTGCTGTTATTTAGGGAAGGAGTTTATTATTTTAGTCAGATCACATACTATGCCAGAAAAAATTTGATAAAGACAGTTTTGGGCAAAATGTCAAAACAAGTCTGCATCCTTGTAGCAGGAGGCGGAGCTTTGTTTATGCAGGATTTATTTTAAGCTTTTGTGGTCCATTTCGTAAAATCAGGTACAAACATTGATCAAAGGCAGTGTCCTTATCAGAAACCTTTCAGTTCTTTTGAAACCTACTTCGTAACATGCCAACAGACTGGGGCTTGATGTGTAATGACATGCAATAATGTTTTTTTTTTTCCAAAACCAGCAATTTTTGTATTAAAAACTTTCTGTCACATATCTCTAAACTTAGAAAAATATATTTTTTTCATAAGTTTCAGCCAAACAACCCATTATGGCTATTCACTCTATATTTCCCCACTGCCCCAAACTGCAACTCTCCCCCTAATGACCTTATAAATTATTCTTCACCTAGTGTCTCAGGGATCTGTGCGTAGGCGATGTGGTTTCAATGGACTCTGGGAGACAGACGGAAGCGGGAATGTGTGGAGGGACATCAGCGAGTGTGAGCAAGAAAAAGAGGTGGCGTCTCAGGAGGTACAACTGGGGTCTCTACCACACTTTGCAAAACATATACCGGTATATGTTTTTATTATATAGGGTTGCAGGAAGAAAAAAAACATCTTTTGTCATGTTTATAATTTGAGTGGATGTTTCCTAGTGTTTTTGTCTTGCAATGTTCTAATATTAGATGTTTTGCTATTTGTTTATTTACATTTAATTTGCAAGTTTATTCTTGTGTTCTTTCCGCATTTGTGTGCTTCTGTTGTTGATCTCTGTTCTGTGCATCCCTACTCAGCTTTATCCAGGTTTTTTGTTTTTGCTCTCCACCACAGTCATTATTTAAACCGCACTAGTTTGCCTGTGCCGGATCTGATTCCTCTCACTTGTTTTTCCACCCCTTATGCTTTTGATGCCTCTCTGTTGAAATGTCAAGCACCATGCCTGCTGTTGGTCATGCATGTTCATCATTCTTTTTTTACTTTTCTGTAAATTACCTTCACCTAATCATCCTGCCTTGGCATTTCGGTCCAGACTATGTATCAGCACAATAATCTTTGAGAACAAAGGCAAAAAAGCTTTTACATCTGAAGGATCAAACGTTTTTTTTTTAGTGCTCTGTTCTTTTGTTTAGTTTTTTTTTGTTGTTGTTGTTGTTAAAAACCTTACAGACGAGAGCAAACTTTGCAGAGGAAAAATGCTGCTGACACTAAACATACAGTAGAAGCAAAAGGAAAAAAATGCATCAAATATCTTATATAACTTAATACCTGAAAAATGTCATTACAAAACTAAAGTGCACCATAACACTAGGGGAATTCAACAAAGTCAGATATGGCATGTTCTATTGTAGAATATTCTGCCACTTGTGTAAGGAAGCCATGCAGGGAAATGTTCAGTTCTTTCCTTTCCTTCCTCCTTTCTTTGGGTCATTTCACTGATGTCTTTACTGGAGCCCTGGTCCAGCCTAAAATATTGCGCTGTAAAGTCTTTCTCATTCATTATTACCGTACATGAGTGCTACTTCTTGTGCTTTTGCCATTTTTACTGAGTTTAGAGATTGCCTTTATATTTGCTTCCATCTGCCACCGTATTTAAGTTCTCTGAAATGTCTTGATGCAAAATAAATCAGAGAAATCAAAGTTTATCCAGTATATCAATAACATGTGTTTGGATTTTGGATTTGAATTCCACAATGCTGCATAAACAACTATCATGGCCTTCTGGTTTCATGATGTAATTTCTATTTTCTCTTATTATTTCTTTTCTATATCATTTTATTCAGTTTGACGCTAATTAGATGTGTCTTTATCTTCACAGCTTTGGCTCAAACAGCTGATGGTGGGCTTCAGGACATTGTACACTGTCGGCTATTCCTTGTCTCTGTCCACGCTTTTATTGGCTCTAATCATTATCCTGAGCTTTAGGTGAGCTGTCTTGCATAAACTAGATGTAATCTTCTGTATTTTAGTAGGTTTATTCTGTAAACCCACAACATGCACTTTCCCTTCCCTTAAAGCTGTCCAGGCTGTCCAGCTAGTTATTGTGCTGCTTTGGTTCTACAACTGAGCCGGTATAGGCTACTGTCTGATGGTTGGGTACCATCAAAATGGATCTTTTTGAGCCCAACTAGATCATCAGAAAAACACAGTCTGGGTTTAAAGCCAAACATTGGAGCTTAGGTTTTGAGATTCCTTTTGCAGCACTGTATAATCGGCATGTTCTAGTTGCAAGTAGAACCAATGGTGTTACTGTTACTAGTATTTACTAGCTATGGGATGTTTTAGAGGTTCCTTGCATGTCCAGCCTGTTTCTGGTCACTCTATAGCATCTTGGTTTTAACCAAACCCAGGACTTCATTTCATTTTCAGTCTTGAAAAAGGTAGCTGTATTTGTTTGAATAATTTTCTGTCTGATTGTCTAAATTTTCCTTTAAACCCCCTGATACATCATGGACTCTATGACGGTAAGCTGGTCCTGCTGAAGCAAAGCTTCCCAAAGTGTGGCCTAGTGGATAGGGCATTGCACTTGGAATCCAGATGTTCTGAGTTCAACCCCCACTCCCATGGACTGACCCTTAACCCCACACTGCTCCCCAGGTGCTGCACAATGACAGCCCACTGCTCCCCAAAGGGATGCGTCTGAAGAGTTCATTTCGTGGGTCTTTACTTGTGACAGTGTAATGAAAATAACAGCTTAAAAAAAGGATGTTTAGGATGCTTTCTCTATGTTCTCTCAGACAAATTTCAAAATTAAGTCATGGCGTTCTCATAGAACCAAGGTTATCTGCTTGCACACATTCCAGTGGAATTCAACTTATTTTGTCTCTTTCTGATTGGACAGATATGAAGTTTAACCGCAACTGTAATAAGAACTTGCTTCAGGACTCTATGGCATTTTAGACATTTTTGCAGCTTCTTATAGCATCTTGTAGTCTGCTCTTCACAGCGGAACAGCTCAACATAGAACAGAATGTTTTCTTCCTGTGTTTCATTAAAGAAAACTGTTAATGTAAAAGGTGACAAGTGGTGGAGTTGATCTATGATTTTTTTGTTTGTTTTGCTTTTACAACCTGTCAAACATTCTAACTGCACTGTTGTCAAATATCAGAGCAGGAATGAAAGTTTTAATTAAATGAACATACCTCACCTCCATTGTGGCAATTATTCTTTTCTCTCAGATTATTATATATTTTTGCCACATAATACAAAGAAGGATTAACTTGTTTCAGCTTGGTGATTTTCTGTTTAATCTAAAAGCAAGATATCCTAAAATGAGTTGGATTTTGGAATCTGATTAACACATTTCAAATGTCATGTGTGTGAACAGGAAACTGCACTGTACCAGAAATTACATCCACGCCAACCTGTTTCTGTCCTTCATCCTGCGGGCTGTGGCCGTCATTGTAAAGGACACTATGCTGGATCGCCACTTTGGGAGAGAAATTGTCAATGATGTCGATGTAACTGCAATGCTCAGTCATCAGGTGGGTATCAAAAGCTTAATTCTGCACAAAATCTGTAGGCTAAGCCTAAATCCAGCAAAATCCCTCAGGTAATAATTTTTTTCCCCCATTCCACTAGGCTACTATCGGCTGCCGGATTGCTCAGGTTATGATGCAGTACTGCGTCTTGGCCAATCACTACTGGTTCTTTGGAGAAGCAATATATTTGTACTCTGTTCTCATTTCCTGTGTGTTCATTGACAACAACAAATACCTGCCCTACCTCTGTCTTGGCTGGGGTAGGTAACTTTTTTAATGATTTGACACATCTTTAGAAGTTTCATGCAGCTAAAATGTTCTCCTTCACCATCTGTTAGAATTTCTTTTCATCATCAATTCAGTATTAAACTACATTAAAGGTTCATTCAAATAGGTGCTTTGAAAGCGAATGCATTCATCACCAGAGTGACATATGTGCATGTCAGCAGAGGCGTCAGTGCACACAAACCATGGAAACATTTAGTCAGCATTGCTCATCTTTTCTGCTTTGTTTTGTTTTCTTGGAGGTGATTTTTTTTTTGTCATTTCTGTCATGCTCAGGTACCCCTCTCCTGTTTGTGGTACCCTGGGTGGTGATGAAGGTACAAAAGGAAAACAAAGAGTGAGTGACAGTCTTTGTCGGAGCGACACTCCGTGTGCCACTGATAAAGACTGCTTAATGTACAGTATGTGCGTTTTCTCTTCCAGATGTTGGGCCGTTAATGAGAACATGAACTACTGGTGGATCATTCGCTTTCCAGTTCTTACAGCCTCGCTCGTAATGATGATACACACAGATCAGCTCCCATCTGCTTGTTCAGACACATTTAATTTGTCATCGTCTGACATTATATACACTTTCAGATACTTTAAAAAGTAGCACCCTTTGATCTTCCTATAGATTATGACAGATTTCAGCCCCACATATTAAAGCATATAACTACAATGTTATGTGAGCAGAATAAGAGTGACATGTTACTATATATGGAGGACCAACTCTGACAATTAAAAATAAATACAGAAATAAGTAACTAATAAATACAAAGGAATATAATTAAATGAGTAAAAAAAAAAATATTAAATCGAGTTATTAATTAGCTGAACTGAAGCACTTGGCAGCTTTATTTGAAAACAGTGATGGAATTCATGACATCGCTCAGGCAGAACATTTTTTCTGTTACCTGCATGGATGAACAACTTATGTTATCCTTGAGTCACAGCTCATAGAAGAGGACCCAGTATTTAGGTTAGATAGACAGTGAAATTATTTAAAAAGCATTTATTAAAAAATGAAGGATCTGCAGTTCTGCAGTAGCAGGGACTAGGCCGTCTGAGGCAGTAAACTCTGCAAGAGAGAGACGCAGGTTAGTGATCACGTAAATCTAATGAAGAAGACTATCAATGTGAGTCACTAAGCAGGTTTACAAGTTTATTCCATTAACCGGGGAGGGAGAGTTAGGATCCAGCCGGTGGGAAACGACAACAAGATCCGCCCAGAGTATCCAAGATGCTGCAGCCCCGGAAGACAGGTCAGGCAAACAGATCAAAACAGGAAGGCTCAGAGATCCAAGAGTCTGAAGCCAGGTCAGGAAAACAGATCAGAACAGAAGCAGGCAGGCTCAGAAGTCCAGAAGTCCAAAGACAGTTCAGGCAAACGGTTCAGACAGGAACAGACAGGTTCAGTAGTTGAGAGGCAGAACAGGATCAGGATAAAGACACACCAAGGAACTCTAAAAACACTTTCACCACTGGTTAGAAAATAAAAGAATAATCTGGCCCTGATAAATCGATGTAAGCTCCTTAAATAGAGGCAGGAGCAGGTGCATCAGATAAGCAGTGATTAGAAACTGTGCACAGTAAGACAGGTGAATGGAAAGAGGAATTAAGCCAGTCATCAGTACCAAGATCATGACACCTTGATTGTCCCTAACAGAAACTGCTGCTTCTGCTTTACAAATGTAAATTTGCGGGAGAAGTAAATTCAGTCTCCATCTCATTTGTGACCACCTAAGAGAAAATAAGGATCTGTTGCTAAATAATGACAAAAGCATAACATTAATCACATCGTTAATTTACTGGGTTACGAGACAAGATGAAGCGTATTTTTCTCCCGTGAGAATTTTGGTCAAAAAACATGGGTAATCCCAAACTTGATTTATATCAACATTAATGCCAAGTTCTCAAAAAGTAAACAGCTCTGCGGTCATTTCCAGATGTCTGAAAAAATACTGTGCTCTGATTGTAGCACATCTCTTGAATTCCACTGCTGCAGCTCAGCACTAAAACATTTTTTTATTTATTCCACTGTAACATTATAAGATCTAAAGTGCCAATGAGTTTCTTTTTTTAATTTCAAATACAACTTGCTGGTTTTAAATATAAATGTGTGGTGTTATTTATTAACTAGATGATGAATAATTTAATTATTGAAAAAGAGCAACATATCTAAATACATTTATATTTATCAACAGCATTTTTGTCTTTGGTTAGACAAGTATGTGAATAATGTGAATAATAATTTATTTGTGTAGATGTGATAACAATATTCACTGTATATAATAAAAAGAATATAAAACAAACTAGATATTGTAGAACCTGATATTTATACATCTATCCATCCATCTTCTCCCACTAATTCCATCAGGGTCACAGTGAGGCCGGTGCTTATCTCTTGCAGGCTATGAGTGGGAGGAGGGGTACACCCTGGACAGGTCGCAAGTCTGTTGAGGGATATAGATATTTGTACAAATAAAAAGAATTAAGATGGATATAACAATAATTGTGATGGCTAAAAAAAAAAATAAATTAGATACACAAAAATAGATTTCAGAACCAACTCCAGTAAGACAGCATTTCATTTGCATGAAGTCTGTTGATGATGGCATGCAGCCGAAATGCGTTTTTGCTTAAAAAAGGCAAATTAAGGAGGTGAAACCCATTTATGATTTTGTAAGATTAGAACATTAAGATGTTTCTTTTTTTTATAGTCAATGCGTCCACCCTAAATGTTCTAAAGGAAGTATAATGGCTGCACATTAAACAGCCATGTACATTTTCCTCACAATTATTCCCTAATTTCTTAGAATTTTAGTAAAACAGTAAAATGTATTTATTTTTGTGTCAAATTGTTCCAAAGTATGAAGATTTCAGGGGCTTGGATGATAGATGTAATAGGTATGTCAATGAATCCTTAAGATAACCATCTCTGTGTTGTATTTCTTTTTTTTTTTTTCAAAAAACAGATCAACTTTTTGATTTTCATGAAGATCCTGGGGGTAATATTTTCCAAACTACGAGCCAACATCCAAAGTCGATATCCAGATTATAAACTGCGGTAAGTCTCAGAAGTACTTTATAATATACAGATAAGTTTGATTGAATTCCTTCCTCAAAATATAAAAGTCTGGTCCAAACAAAGTGTAAGATGCAGCCTAATTTTATGTGTTCTCTCCCTTTGCCTCCAGGCTTGCCAAGGCAACCCTCACCCTCATTCCTCTGTTTGGAATTCATGAGGTGATTTTCATCTTTGCCACAGATGAGCAGACAACAGGGGTTCTACGCTACATAAAAGTGTTCTTTACTCTATTTATCAGTTCATTTCAGGTAGGTGCAGGAAAAGAAAAAAAAGATGATGGACACTACAACGACACAATCTAATCACCCATTTTGTTTTAAGAATTCTTAGCCCACATCGATACTACCAAACAGGATTTTTTATTCTTTTTTTTTACCTGCAGGGCTTACTGGTGTCTGTGCTCTACTGCTACGCAAACAAAGAGGTTTGTGACCTTTATTTATTTTCATTTCAGAAGTGAGAAAGAAAACAGGTGCTGTCATATAAAGGTGTCAGATGGAATAAGAAGACCGGTGGTTGTTTCTGATTTCAGCAACATGGCTTTTTCCAACGACATGGTTCTTGATAGAAAAAACTTGGCTGGTCCCCTTCAGGTTGGAGGAGAATTCCTACCTCAAGTTAAGGATTTCCAGTATCTTAGAGTCCTGATCATGAGTGAGAGGAAAATATAGTGGGAGTTTGAAAGACGGAGCGGTGCGGCTATCACCATGACATTGCACCAGTCTGTTGTTGGGAAGAGAGAGCTGAGCCTAAAGATATCTTTATCCGATCTACTGTACCAGTCGGGAGTTTGCATGTTCTCCCTGAGCATGCATGGCTTCTCTCCGGGTACTCTGGCTCCCTCCCACAGTCCAAAAACATGACTGTTAGGTTAATTGGCTTCTCTAAAGTCCCCATAGGTGTGTGTGTGAATGGTTGTTTGTGCGGTGTGTCTCTGTGTTGCCCTGCGATGGACTGGCGACCTGTCCAGGGTGGACCCCGCCTCTCGCCCATTGACAGCTGGACCCCTCGCAACCCCACAACCCCACTTGGGATAAGCGTGTAAGAAAATGGATGGATGGATGGATGGATGGATGGATGGATGGATGGATGGATGGATGGATGGATGGATGGATGGATGGATG